CCCCCCCCCCCCCCCCCCCCCCCCCCCCGCAAAATAAAAAGACCTGACTCTCACTCAGAGGCTCGTTAGACTTCCAGGGCCCTACAGCAAACTAAAAGCAGTGATGCCTCTGCACAAGGCCTCTTGCCTCTGGCCTCCCTGTGGAGAGGCATTGGGGAGGGACAGGACAGGGTCAGAGTTGTGGGCGTGTGTATATCCTTCCAAGTTCTCCTTTTCCAGTCCCCGCTGGGACTCTGACTTACTTGGGGTGGTTCTTAGTGCTGCTTCTTTTACAAACCACACTTTGTAGAACTGACTAGATAACCGTGTTGATTTAATGTGAGTTTGTGCCTTTTTGTCTCAATCTTCCAATGCAGGTATATTGGGAAAAAGCAGTCTAATAAAATCCTAGACAGAGTTTTCTGGAGTCCAGCTTATTAGTGATGTTCCTATGTCCATTTTTCAAATTAGGCACCCTTCAAGCTCCTACTGATGTCTTCCCAATTTACCAGGGTAGGATTATGAAAAGATAAATTGGTGTCTCTGAAATTTTATTTTATGTAAATAAAGTATTCCTTGTCCAAAAAGGAAAAAAAAAAACAATTACATTTTCCATTCGGGCTGGGGATTCAACAACTCAGTGATAGTACTTACTTATCCTTGCAGATATGAAAAAGTCACATTAAAATATTACCTTGTCAGTTCAATTTACTTAAGCAACAATACATATCTCAATTAGCCATTTTCACTTTTGTCTCCTTTAGTAGACTAAGCAATTCATTCAATCAGGCTTTTCGAGACAGGATTTCTCTCTGTAGTGCTGACTTTCCTGGAACTCACTTTGTGGACCAGGCTAACCTTGAATTCACAGAGATCTGCCTGCCTCTACCTCCTAGGTGCTGGGATTAAAGGTGTGCACCACCACTGGCTATTATTCTTCTTTTTATAGTGGACAGTTTTATTTTGAGGGAGAAGAACAACAGGGCAGGCAAGCTGTAAATCTTGGGAACTGTTTGAAGAAGAAAAAACCCTTCTGTGAGCAGCCACGTGGTATAGAGGGTGAAAAAACCCAAAGAACCAGGGGACACATGCCTGGCTTTGGAAAAGAGCTGGAAAGATGGCTCTTTCAGAGGACCAGGGTTTAGTTCCCAGCACCTGCATCACAGTTTCCAACTGTCTGTCACTCCAGCTCCAGGGCTCTGATGCCTCAAATCTTCAGAGGCACCTGCACCCACATAATTAAAATAAAAATCTTGTTTAAAGGCTGGCCATGGCGCCACAGGTCTTTCTTCCAAGTATTTGGGAGGCAGAGGCAGGTGGATCTCTGTTTTGAGGTCAGCCTGGTCTAAAGAGAGTGCTAGACCAGGTTTACTAATTTCACTGTAAGCAGGGACAGACAAGGGCTGGAGAGATGGCTCAGAGGTTAAGAACACTGGCTGCTCTTCCAGAGGTCCTGAGTTCAATTCCCAGCAACCACATGGTGGCTCACAACCATCTATACTGAGATCTGGCGCCCTCTTCTGGCGTGCGTGCATACATAGAGGCAGAATGTTGTATACATCTTTTAAAGATAAATAAATCTTTAAAAAAAAAGCAGGGACAGACAACAGTAACAAGACTATTATTGGTTTGTCTTTGTTTTTGTTTTTCCTTTATGAATAATGTTCATCAGGGGCATGCCTGGTACCGAGAGAGATCAAGAGTGCCTTGGAACTGGAGTTAGGGTGATTATGAGCCACTTTGTGGGTAGTGGGAACAAAAGCCAGGTTTCTCTGTAAGTGCTCTTAACCCTCTCCAGTCCTTTAAGTTTTATTGCTGTGTTTATGGCTGCGTGTAGAAGTCAGGGGACAACTTGGAGTGCTACTCTCCTTCCACACACAGTAAATAAAGCACAGGTATTAAGACTTGGTAGCAGAAGTTGTCCCCTCCCCGTCGGTTTTAAGAAACCTTCTAAGACAGTTCAAGCTGTCCTCAAATTTGAAGTAACATCCTGCCTCAGCGTCCTGGGATTAGATACACACCACTACTCCTAGTACGAGAACATACATTTATAGAGCAGGTGTGGCCCACCCACCGTGAGGTGCCAAAAAAGCAGGATCTTTAACTTGGTTTTCCAGTGTGAATCTCATCAAGTTTGGTAAAACTGTGTTTTCCTGGGGGATGTCAGAACCCTGAAAACAATCCTGCTTTCAAAAACAAAACAAACAAAAAACCCTAAGAACCAAAGACCTAAAGGAAATAAGTCGAAGTGAGTCTGGCAGATTAAATAATCATGACCAGTCGAGTATACACCAAATAAGAGCCACGACTTGTTTTTCACTCACTGGTGGCTAATTTTCCGTGCCCAGGAGCCCCAAAACATGCTTTGTATTCAGCAAAACTAGGTTCGAGCTGGGCGTGGTGCTGCACTCACGTAACTTCGGCTCTGAGGTGGGAGGATCGGCTTGCTCTGCAGAGCATGCTCCAGGACTACCAGCGAGACTCTCGGGGAAATAACACCAAGCGATGACCAGCGAGTCACTTAAAAGAAAGCAGTGCTCTGTGACCCTTAGGAGGCTGCCAACGAACGGGGTGAGGGAGGCCAGCGTCCGCACCCTGCGCACTCCCCGAGTCTGAGGGTGGGCAGACAAGAGCGAGGACCGCAAGCCAAGGGATCGTCTCGAGGCAGCCGAGGCCGCGCTCCACAGTAACTTCCGTCCGCAACGCCCACAACGCCCTCGCGCAAGGCAGGCTGGGAGTGCGGGCCGGGCGGCCGCGCCGCGGCCCCCTCGCTCGTCAATGCGGGCCGTGTGGCGTCGGGGGTAGGTGACACATAGGACACGCCTCTCTCCGTCTCCGAGCCCATCTCCACTCCGCCTCTGAGCGTCACACTCTGCCGGAGAGTCCCGCCTCTGTCCCCCTCCAACCGCACCCCACAGTCCTGGGTGCTCACGATCCGCCTCCTACGGAAGCCGAAGCGTACAGTCAGAATCCGGAAGAAAAACAACCTGGAGGGAAAAGTGCCTCTGATACCGGCGACCTAGGGCTGCCTCGGCCCGCACTGGCTGGAGCGCGGAGACACGAGCCTACGGGGTCACCGCTTGGGAATGATGTCGGCTGCGTGTCCACGGAGGCCGAACGCTCCGAAAGGCTGTGTACTCAGGTGAGCAGGCAGTTGTAGGCCGATTGGTTTCCGGCGGTTCGCTGTCATCGGTCCAGTCAGATTTGTGGGGCTGGGTACGGAACCACAGTGGGATCAAGAGGACAGGACCACAAGGCGACCCTAGTTTGGACCCCCAGATTCTGCCAGGCCAGTGTTGATGGGCTGTTAGACCTGATGCCCGCCCTAAACTTGGACTGCCGAATTGGTCACTGCAGATGCTTCCTAAGCAAGTGTCCAGTTGATTTTTAGAGCACACAAACTACTAAGTGTCTAAGACATTCGTCCCTTCAGCTGTAGAATAGACGTTTTGTTCCTACTTCTCATCAGCAGTACAACACGGGGTCTTCTTGATCCGGTTATGATCTCTAGAAATCCGAAATCAGATTTAGATAAGATCCTTTAGGAGAGAAGCCTGGTCTCTTGCTTGCTCTTTAATCACGAGGAACGCCGCTAATCATCCAAGTGAGCGTAAATCATAGCGCATGGATTTGCTGCTAATGATTAAAACTGAGAACAGGGATAAGAAATACCGAATTTTATTCTTGATCCACTTAGCTTAAGTGCCTGAGGATACAAGAAGCCATTGAGTAAAAGGGTTACTTGCCTTAATCCTCTGTTGGACACCAGGGGGAGACCGTTCCTCAGCGGGCCTGAAAAGGTGGTTTTTGTATTTTGTTTATATTCACAGAGAGAGGCAGGAAGTTGCTTTAAGCTAGCCAAGAAACGTTTTTACAAGTCATGCTTCTTAGAACATGCACCTCTAAAGCAGGGTCTGGTGGACAGGAGCTGTTACAGAACGGCCTGCCCTTCCCTTCAGGGCATTCAGTATTCCTGGAATTCACACGCTTCCTCTCTGTAGAGTCTGAGCTCCTGCTTGCTCTGTCCTGGGAACAGTGTGGGCCTCTTGGAGCGTTGCTATAGCAACATGCTCACTCAAGGGCTCTGCGAGTCTTCGCTTTCCTGAACTTCTGATAGAATATCATGGTTTTTAGAGCTGCTCTTATTTCTCCTGATGCTCTGGTACTTGTAGGGAGCTGAGATTGGAATGTTATTCCCCAGTTGAGGACGTTTCCCAATTGAGTGGACTATTGAGATAGATAAGCCTGTTCCTTAGAAACTTGTACTTAGGTTCCCTGAAGGCCTTGGGAGAATATGCTGTGTTCCAGGGATCTGTGAGATCGGAGTGAGAAAGGAAATGTGCTGCTTATTTTGTTCTTTTCTGAACTTTCTGATCTCGTGGCTCTGAGGCATGATTAGGTACAATCAACCACCAATGCCTTCTTGGTGCTCTTAGGAAGCTAGAGGTTGAGGAGCAGGAGGACAAAGTTGCCGGCTGAGCCACGGAAGATGGATGAGGTGTAGATAGCTGGAAGAGTTAATGCGTTAACAAATTTCTGGCTATCCAACTCATCATTCGTTCCTTTGCCTGGCCAAAGCTCCTTTTGTGTTCCCCTTGGCACCTCTGTGTCAGGTGCTGCTGGGGTATGAGCAGTTGTGAACCTGAGTAGAGCAGCCAGTTCAAAGGAAGAGATTCCTGATTCAGGGATAAAAGGGAAGGCAAAGACTTTATAGTCCATTGCTCCTTTTCCCCTTTTCCTGCGACAAGATGGAGAAACAAACTGGGCATGGTGGCACACAACTTTAATCCCAGAATTTAGGCAGCAGAGGAAGGCTGATCCCGCCCCCCCACACACCGTGAGCTCCAGGCAAGCCTGATCTACATAAGGAGTCGGAGGCCAGGACTGCATAGTGGGACTCTGTTTCAAAAACAACAATCTAGCAAACATGCAGACACATTTCCCATGATCACTGCCGTGGAAGCCATTAACAGACTAGGTCCCTGCCCAATCCTTAGCCTCCGTTCCCTATGACTTTCTTTAGTATCTTTTACACAGTATACATGTTCTGACATGGAATGTGGCCTCAGCAGCCCCCACTGTGGACCTCAGTGACCTACTTCAGCTGAACAACCAAGACCTGAATCTGGACATGTATATCATTGGGTAGGTATCTGAAGGGCTCCTCGTCCTCTGCCCTGTGGAGGATGCTGGAACCTTTCCTCCCCTCATTTTGGAGTCTGGAAGTGAGGCACTTTCATTCTTTCTGGGCCTAGCCTCATGTTTCTTGTCCTGGGTCAGCAGTGGTCAGCAACAGCCACACAGCTAGGGAAGGGAGGAGTCTTGGCCATCAGAACCCAGGTCTGAACGTCTGATAAGGCTGTACCCTATGACTTTGGGAGAAGTAGTATCCTCCAGGCCAGGGCATGAGCCTCTGATGTGGAATGGTCAGTTTGCAGGAAATGAATTCTGGACTCATAAGCCTTCTTTCTGACGCTGCTTTTGAAGACCCATGGAGCAGTTTCTTCATGGATGTGCTTTCCCGCCTGAACTTTGTCAAGGTGAGATAAAAGTTCATGAGCAATGGAGGACTGTGTGTCCCCTTCTCTGACCCCCAGTCGCTTGTCTGGTGTGTTCCTCTTCCACTTAGCTTTTCCTGCTCTTTCCCATTCATTAAAAGGTCGAAACCTCACTCTGCACTCAGCTGCCTAGATATTCTGTCTGCCTCGTGCCCCAGTCTGAGCTGTGACTCCAGGGATAGTTTCACACCTAGATATCTGTCACCCCGGGAGAGTTCCTAGTGGAGACGCATCAAGACTTATTAATATCTCAGTGCCTACTCCTGTCCCAGCCTCCAGTCTCTGCACGCTGCCCAGCAGGAACTCTCAGTCTGGTGGTAGACTGTAAATAGGCTCCTGGTGTGTGTTGTTTTACGATCCTAACTCTTGACATAGAAATACTTTACAGGATTAAACCCAAGGCTCAGAAGTCACACGGGCTCTCTGGGATCTGAATCCAGATCTTCCAAACCTCAGAACTTGTGATCTAAAGTGTTGTATTTTACTGCTGTACTAGAGTATGCTAAGTCTGGCAGGAAATCCCAAGGCTCACTTACTGATATCACAGGCGACAAGAATATCAAGTTGGGAGAGGGGAAGACAGGAGTAGTGGAAAGTACTTCTTAATCTGAGGGACCAGTTATATCATAGCATAATGATGGGAAGGCTTTAGGTCACTGGTTTATTTCTGCCCTGCACCCACAGTGAATGCACAAACAAACACCCATCCAGGGTCCCCAGTTCCTAGCTGCTTGGAAACACTAGAATTCTCTCCGTTCCTTTTCTAGGAGAGTTTTAGTCTTCAGTATAAATTCTATTACCTAGTTTTCTCAGGGATGATTGAGCAAGAGCTGTGTGGCCCTCTGAGGAGGAGAGATACAAGACTAGGTGATGTTAGCCCCAGAACCCCTTTCCCCCTGTTCCCCCCTCCCCTACTCCAAACAAACTGAGAAGACTCTCCTAGGAGATTTGGAGCTATTTCCTCATGGAGGGAAGAGCCTCCTCTCTCAGTGCTCATTTCTTCCCAAGACTTCATGAGTCCTCACGCCTTGACTAATTGGCAAGGGATTGGTAGGGTGGAATGGAGCCAAGGAAATTAGCTCAGCTTGTGGCAGGGGCACAACCCATTCTACTCATGTGGCCTCCTAAAATTGAGAGCTAGCCTGAGGTCTAAAACCCAAAGCCGATGCCTCTCCTTCCCTTGGCCGACCTGGACTTGAAAACCCTGTATACAGCCAGTCCCTGGTAGGAATTTACCGGCAGCTGTGTGTTGAGAACTCAGGGAGCCCTCTTTGCTGCCCCGTGTCTAGTTGCCTCCTGCCAGCTCCTTTAGCTCCTCCTACTTAGTTTCTTCCCACTGAAACTTTCCCTGGAAGGCTCTGGCTTTTCCTCACAACCCCACCCGTTCTCCCAGTCTCAGTGGGTCCTGCCCTCACTCCCTCCTATTTCCCCAGCTTCCTGCTGCTCTCTCATAAAGTAAACTAGACTTTGTGTTGAGGCCCAGCGGCCTAAACCTGCTCTGTTAGTTAGAAGTAAATGCACATCTTCTCCTGAATCTTGGTTTCTTGCTTTCTGTCCTGACCTGGGATTTGGTTCCTCATAGTATAGTCCTGCTTAGACTTCTGTTGCTATAGATAGTTGTGAATGGGAAAAAATAGAAAACTTGGGATGTAGTCAGTGGGAAAGCACATATGTTAGGCCAGAGATTTGTTTCTTGTTACAAAAAAAAAAAAAAAAATGAAGACAGGGTGGAGGGTAGGTTAGTATATATGTTTGTAGTGGCCTCAGAGGACTCAGGCTCCCAGACCTCCTTTGTTCAGTACTGACTTTGGGGTTCCCCCTACTTTGATTCTACTGCTGTACTAGGGCTGCTCCTGGACTGTGGGATCAAGTTTCATAATTCCTGGAAGGCCCCAGTATAGTTCTCCACCCGGAGATTTCCTCCTTGGCCTTTGTACCTCATGCTCCGGAAACAGCTACTGGAGTGGTGGGTGTACACAGTCCAGGCCTGAGAGGCAGGGTCATTAGGGATGGCCTCTTCCCACCCCACCTCCACAGCTAGCAATAGTAGACATTTTGGCAATCCCGAAACAGTGTTCCTCGTTCCCCTGCATCCCAGAATCTCATCTGTACATTAGCAAGCCAGGACCAGTGATTCCTGACAGCTATGGGAAAGCTTGAGCCGCTCCGTGGGTGTAGGTGCTTTCCCCAGCTCTGGAGCCTGTCCTCAGTACTCAGTTGCATCCCGTGTACATTGCCTTCACGGACATTGAACCACAGACTCTGAAGTTATTTATTTATTCACATTTCTGCAGCCGTGTCTCCTGTTTCCCAGACTAACCTTAAACTCTTGATCCTCCTGCATCCACTTCCTGAGTGCTAGGATTATAGCATATGCCATCATGCCTAACTTCCTAGTTATGTGTAACACACACACATACACACACACACACACCATCAATTTCATGGTGATTTTTTGCTGAACTAGGACATGTATAGAAAAATATTCAGATGGTTTTCGAGCATGTATCAGGCACTGAAATTGGTCCTCAGTATTATGGGGGGAAAAGGAAGAAAAGTGAATGGGCACAGTAAGTAAGTGTTGTGTCAATGGATTTTAGTATTTGAGTTACCATCAGTCAACTCAGGATTCAAAACAGCACTCTAAAAGCGTCTCTCTTGTTCTTGCTTACATCTAAGAATCCCCATGCTGCTGAGTGGTAGTACCAGACACCTTTATTCCCAGTGTTTGGGAGGCAGACGCAGGCATATCTCTGAGTTTGAGGCCAGCCTGGTCTACAGAGCTAGTTCTAGGACAGCCAGGGCAACACAGAGAGACCCTGTATCAAAAATAGAATCCCTAAGCAAAAATGCCTGTAATTCCAGCACTTGAGGCCTTGCAGGATGATTGTCAATTCTAGGTATACCTAGGATATGTATCAAGACCCTGTCTCCAAAAAGACAGTGGGGTGAAGAGAGAGCACATATTGCAGTAGCCTCGAGAGCTGAGTTCAGATCCCAGCCCACATGAAAAGCCAGGCATGGTCATATTGACTCTAGCGCTATGAGGGAGTGGACAGAGGAGGATCACTGGGCTTGCTGGTCACTAACCCAACTCCACGTTCAGTGAGGGATTTTGTCCCAAAGGAATAAGGTGGAAATTGACAGAGCAGCAACCCGGTAACCTCTGCAGTGTTCACCTGAATACAGATGCAAGCACTCAATTATCACTGAGCCAACAAATAATATCTTCACAGCCTATATAACGTTATATTATTCCTGCTTCATCCATGAGAAGAGGCTGAGGTGGGGCGTATACAGAGGATCTTAGGACCACACGTGTGAAATGAGCACCAGCTGCGCACAGGCTTGGCTGGAAGAGCCGCCTTTGTAGTGGCAGGCCCCCTCGGAAGCTTCTTCCTTCTCCTCAATCCCTAGGACCATAAGCAGAAACCAAAGCCGTAGCTTCCAGAATGCACTGTTGGGCCGCTGAGAGAAAAAAAGAAAAAAGTGAAATTCAGACTCAAACTGGGCTCCATAGACTCTTGGGGCTTTGCATGTGATTCCAGACTCTTCTAAAAGCCCTGATCAGGCTTAGAAGGTATACAATTGACCTTTGCAGTTTAATGAATGACCTTTGCCCTCTGCTGCAGATCTCCCAAGTCCGCATGCAGGGGCTTCTCTTACTGGTCTTTGCCAAGTATCAGCATTTGCCCTACATCCAGATCATCTCTACAAGATCCACCCCTACTGGCCTCTACGGGTACTGGGTAAGGACTGAGCTCTCTTCTGAGACTTGAGCTGGCAAGGACTGGATGCTTTGGAGCTAAGCAAAACAGGGGCAATGAACTGAGTCTGGGTGTTCTAGGACCCTGCATACCTGCCCCCATTCCCCACCCCAAATCCTGCCATCCCAGCAGAGCTTGGATATTCCAGAAATCTTAGATTGGGGTACTGGGTTTGTGCATGGAAGAATTAGCTGAGAAGCTCGGTGTCTATGGCTAAGATCCTGGGGGAGGTAAGACTGGCTCCCCTCAGACCTAGAATGGAAAAGAGGGGTGTGTATACAATCCAGAATCTCTCCCCACCCTTCTTCCCACCCGTCCTACCAGGGGAACAAAGGGGGAGTCAACATCTGCCTGAAGCTATATGGCTACTATGTCAGCATCATCAACTGCCACCTGCCTCCCCATATGTCCAACAATGATCAGCGGCTGGAGCACTTCGACCGAATCTTGGAGAGTCAGACTTTTGAGGGAAACAATATCCCCAACATCCTGGACCATGAGTGAGCCTGAAGCTGCAAACTGTCACCCCTGCCCTCCCCCACGCCAGCCCAGGCTAGCATTGACTGCTGAGCCTACTTCGCTGCCAGTCAGTAGTGCTCCATCTCCCAACCCCTGCCAACCCCTTTCCTGATGTTCCATCTGCTGTACCACCCAGCTTTGCCCGCCTGATGTCTGCCTTCCTCTGGCCTCTTTGTCCTTCCTAGAAACCCTGGATATTTGTAAACATCCTAGGTCAAGACCCTTGTGGTTAAGTTTTCCACAGGGGTTATTTCTCAGCTTGTCCAGGTGGCCAGTTGGGGAACAGGGCTAGAGCCTGCTCTGTATTTGCCATATGCTTATCTCGGCAAGTCCTTTAACTTAAATCATAGCATTGGCACCAAGGACTGTCCTGCTGGTCCCATGCGTGCCCTGCTTTCATCTGCTGCTGTCCTAGAGTCTAGCTTCTCACTTGTCCTCTCAGCTTTTTCTTCCCCAGCAGCCCTTGTGCTCTTCACTGACCTCACCACAAACCTCAGGCTACCCTCCTTTTTTTCCTGAAGCCTCATTCTGTGGTTTGGAGACATGAACTTTCGCATTGAGGACTTTGGGTTGCTCTTTGTTCAGGAGTGTGTAGCAAAGCAGTACTACCACGAGCTGTGGAAGAAGGACCAGGTATCAAGTGAGCAGGGGGTCTGGTGTGTGTGTGTGTGAAGTGAGTAGAGGGTCTGGTGTGTGTGTGTGAGAGAGAAGTGAGCAGAGGGTCTGGTCTGTCTGTGTGTGTGTGTGAAGTGAGCAGAGGGTCTGGCGTGTGTGTGGGTGTTTGTGTGTGGTTGTGAGAGGGGGAGAGAGAGAGAGAGAGAGAGAGAGAGAGA